ATAGATAGATAGATAGATAGATAGATAGATAGATAGATAGATAGATAGATAGATAGATGGATGGATGGATGGATGGATGGATGGATGGATGGATGGATGGATGGATGAATGAATGAATGAATGAATGAATGAATGAATGAATAAGAAGAGGTGTGGCCAGGCAAGATGGCTCCCAGGTAAGAGAGCTTGTTTTACAGCTCAGAGGAGCAGAGTTCATCTCTGGGTATTTCTATACCAAGGCCCCGTGCATTTGGACAGCACCCCACGGTTAGCAGAGGGTGTACCTCACTTGGCAGTGGTTGACAGGAAGCAGAAATCAGGAGACTAGGAATAGAAATAGTGTTGCCATTTAGGGTCCAAGTTGTACATACACATGGGCTCACCAACATGAAGATCAACAAGCCCTTCCTTTCTCAAGCTGCTGCTGTCAGGTGTTTCTCACAGCAGAGAGAAAGTAATCCACTTTTGGCACCAAGCGCAACTTGACCCCCCTTGAGCTGTCTCTGCTGAGGCCTGACAAAAAGGTAATTCCATTAAGAAATACAGAATGAAAATATTGACAGGGGACTCAGTCAAGGATAAAGAAAATGCACACAGAACCAGGCCTAATGGCACATGCCTATGATCCAGCACTCAGGAGGCTGAGGCAGGAAGATGGTGAGTATAAGGACAGCCTGGTCCACACAGTGAGATGTTGCCTTAAGCTAACCTTTACAAAACTGGGCCTGTTTACATCCCATCATGAAGAGGGCTGGGAGTCACAAGGCCTGAGCCTTGCCTGACACTCTAGATGCAGTAAGCAGTTTCTGGGGGAAGGAGAGACATTTGCTCTAAGTGGGGTAGCCCCTGTTACAGCAGCAATGCTCACGCTCAGACTTCTGGGCCTGCCATGGAGCACCTGTGTTACTTCAGGCGAGTTACCTATCCTCTTTGTCCTTTGGTTTCTTCAGACTCAAAAATAAGGATAAGAGAATTTACTTCAATGCGTTTTGTGAGGATTAAACATCGAAAAGCCTGTCCGTAGAGCATTTTCAGTAAACGTCGACAGCTGATGTC